ACCTCTCCATTTTCAGCCTTGGAACTCTTTTCTAAACTAAAGAAGTATTTATTACTTAAAGGAATTGTGGACTCTCAGGAGTTATGGAGAAGCCTTGAGGGTCTTCCAAAGCCTGTAGACCTGCATTTGCTACCTAACTTGGCCTCCTAATGTCTGGGTGATCTTGCACAAATTACTGTACCTCACAGACTAGAGACCTCTTAAGAGGGTTAAACTAAAGAAATGCACATAAGTTATATTAATAACATTAGTATTAACACAGGGCACTTACTATGTGTCAGGCACTATTAGACACTTAACATATAAATGAAGATTACATGAGTTAAATATACACTAGTTCCCTTATCTTATTAAAGTTCTATCATGTTCTAGCTCTGTAACCTTGGGAAAGTTTCATTAATTTTCATAGTAACCCTACAGGACAGTGCTTTTCTTTCCATTTTATAGACAAACTGAGGCACATTAGAGTGGGATCAACTATGTTTACCAATAGGGTTTTAATGAGGTTTCAGTATCTGTACAAAGCTAAAAGCAAACTAATGGCTGAGACTCAAAACCAGGCAGTGTGGCTTAAATCCAAGATATTAATCACTTCCTTAGATTCCTCACAAGATGTATGTATGTGTAATTATACAAATGAATTAGAAGGAAATATGTAGCTTTTTGGTATTCTTGAAAAGTTCGAAAGTGTTCACACAATGTTCAAAATATCCCTCAACGGATGTGTTAAGGGACAGGTGCAAAATTTAGTGAACAAAAATCTTCATCCCAATATTCTGAAAACTCTTAAACTGCAACCCCCAGCCCTCCCTATCTAACATTTTCTTGTTTTCTGTCAGTCTTCCCCAGAATGAATGTAAGTGCTTCAGGGGTGGTAATTTTGTTCACTGTGTGACATCCTGAGCACCTACAACAGCACTGGGCATATAGCTGCACACAAAAATTCTTGTTCAATAAATTAGTAAATGGCTGTGTGAAGGACAGGAGGGAAGAAATACAGGACTGAGGATGGGGGAGGGCAAGGGAGAAGAAAATTATATCTTTAGTTCTATTTCTTTAATATCTGAAGAGACTTAAAGCAAAATGTTAAAGGTGAAATAGGTGGTAGGATATATGGGCACTTTTTGGGGGGCTATTTTTCTGTATTTTATCAACTTCTCAAAATAAAAAATAATAAGCAGTGTATTTAAAGCATTTAACATAGTTGTCCAACAGGGAAACAAAGATTAAGTGACTTACTACTCAAAATTGGTGAGTAGGAAGTTGCTGAGGGAAGCCTAAAATCCAATTTTCTGTCTTTCTCTTACCCCACAAAGGGGCACTGCATCTATTACATTAAACATATAGTATGGTATGTACTTACCTATATAATGCTGCATAATATCGATCTGATATTGTCTGCTGAGAATTCATTACCTGGAACAGCAACATTAAGGCTTGCACACTGGTATTAAAATTCACAATATGCAACACTCTAAACAGGGTGTCAACCTGCTCCCTCACTTTGTCATCACCAGTCTGGGAGTAAGGGAATGCCCTATTCACTCCTGTTAAAAGGGCACCAAGCATTTTTGATTCAATGTCTTTTTTCTTGATACAAGTCCGAAAAAAACAAAAATAAAGAGTTATTAATTTGTTAGCTAATTCACTTTCTTCATGGGAGAGGACCATTTGATTTAAAAAGCAAATTGCATAATATTGAGCTTTCGAGCTTATATTTGAGCGAAAAAGCAGCCTTTCTACTTCACTACACACAACTCCTTTCATATTAGGATGTTTACAAAGCAATGTCTCTAACAGATGAGAGGCTTTTGTGGCGATTCTGTTCTGAGGATCTCCCAGTTTGTTTACCACCTGCACAAGAAGAGCCTTCTCTTCCTCAGGTTTGTTGCAAAGAAGCTCATGAGCCACTGCAAGGGCTCGAATTTTGGTGGTTACTAATGAATCATGACTTAAAGTTTCTAAGACCTGTACAAATTCAGCCACTATGTTTTTTAGCTGGTGTTCAAAATACCACAATATCAGCCTTCTATCTCTTGAGTCCTTGTTGCCACTGGACAGCTGTTCTAGTTTACTGAAAGGATGTTGGCTGAAAATCCGCAACTTCCGACTATCTGGCAAAAGGTCCGTGATTAGTAACTCTTTGAAAGTACCCAAAGCCATGAGGCACTGCTGTTTGCTGCCCTTCTTTTTGACAAGGTTCATGAGAGTTTCTACAAACTGGAGTGTGTGAATAGCATCATCCTGAATAAGGAGAATCATGGCTGCCATCCTATCACCTAGTGTCCCAGTTGACACAATTGTCTTCATCCAGGTGGAAGAGGCTCCCTTTTGGTTATTCGTCTTATTTTTGAATAAGTTGATTTCATGCTCATACAACTTCTGAGCCAAGGTTTTGTACTTAGACACAACAGCTTGAGGCTGGGGTTCCAAAGAATATTCACTGCTGTACTGCAGATCGTACCATTTGCCTCCAGGCTTGAGTAACAATGTCTGTCTCTCAAAAAATTCAAAGATGTCTTGCTGTTTATCTTTCCTTATTTTAGGTATGGTGCTGTTCTCATCAGAATGTTCTTCTGGTTTATTTTTATTTTTCACCTTACTGGTTGATGTCTTTTCACTTTCTGTTACATTTTGCTTTTTATTATCTACTTTAGATAGTCTTGCTTCTTTTTTGCTGGCATCTTCTTTTTTAGCTGGTTCATCTTCAATTAAGAAAGCTTTTGAGTACTTGACCAAACTAAGATTATGAATAAATGCTTCCAATTCACCTTGTTGGAGGTCATCAATTGCTCCTTTTTTGCCTCCATCCACCACTTCCTCATTCTCATCCAAAGCAGCCAGCAAAAGGTAATCTTGCTGCATAAAAACATATGGAAGTTAAATTACAAATCAGTTTAGTTTAAAGTTCAAATGCTAATTTGAAATCTGTATCTTTGAAATCGGTTAAACTGAGTTATTATGGTACTGCCTGGGCTCTAACTCTACCCTGCAAATAACTACTTGATGTATCAAAGATTTAAATGTGAAAAACAAAATCATAAAAAACAGAAGAAAGCACAGTGTAATTTAAAAAATCATTTCCGAGTAGGAAAAACCTTTCCAAATTTGACATAACACTCAGATCCCATAAAGAAAGGATGGGTGAACTTATTCTCTCAAACACAAAACACATACAAAAATCAAAAGACAAATAATGAATTGAAAAAAGAAGAAAAAAACCCTGGCAACTCCTATCCAAGTAACTGGGCTCAATATTTATACACATTTTTATACATCAATTAGGGAAGTGACAAGTCAACAGAAAGATGTGCAAAGGACATAAACAAATGGTTCACAGAAAAAAAAAAGTGGTTTTTAACAATATGAAAAGATGTTCAACCTCACTGACATTTAGAGAAATATAAATTAAAACTACAATGATATATTCATTTTTTAATCTGTCAGATGAGCAAAGATAAAATTATGACAGTTGGTCTTGGGAAGAAAGTGGGGATAAAAGGCACTTGCATACATGACCTATGGAACTGTAAACTGTCATGATCTCTTTGGAGGGCAATGTGTCATCTTCAATCAAAATACAAGACACACATCCTTTGACCCAGCAGTTCTATTTGTATAAATTTAGGTTACACATACAATTACAAAAGTGGGAAAAGATATATATTCAAGATTATTTACTGAATCATCATTTAAGATAGCAAAAGATTGACAACTTAATATTCACAATAAATGGTTAGATAATTTAAGACAATCCACGATTTATGCAGGCATAAAACCAATGACACAAAACTATGTACTGATAAGGATGTCTAAGACAGTAAGAAAGAAAAGGATGCAAAATATTATACAGTATGGTACCTTTTGTGTAAAAAATAACACACATATTTGAGTATTTGCTTGGAAGATAATAAAAGACCGGTAAAAAATGATTGCTTCCTGGAGGGGAAATTTGAATGTCTGGAGATAAAAGTGGAAAGATGACTTCTCATTATGTACCCCCTCCTTTTTTAAAAAAAGCTTATTTGTAGCAAGTGCATATATTACCTATTCAAAAATTAAATACAACCCAAGTATAAACTTTGAACCTGCCCCTTTAAAATCCATTTCTTATGCTTCTATTCCCTACCCCCGAAAGTCCAGTCTCAAAACGAACATTTAATAAAAAATAAACTAAATTTTTTTGGGTATTTGTTCCAAATTTCGAAGGTTTCCTACCAAATTCAGAGCAAAAGCTCACCCTTTAACCTCTCTCACCTCATTTTTCACTATTCTCCCCTCAGCTACACGGGCAACATGGCTCACTCTTCCCTTTCCTTTAGTTTTCTGCTTATAATTTCTGTGATAGGTTTCCTGATCACCTTATTTAAAACCATAACGCCCTCTCCCACTCATTACCTTCCATGTTTCTTCTATAGTACTACTTGGCATCTGATATACTATGTATTGGTGAGGACAGTTAAACTTCCAAAACCACTTCAAAACACTGACTCCACGAGTTCAGGACCGAAAACAGTCAGTCCTCGCCGAGCTGATTGACAGAAGGCAGCGCTACACCACGTAAATAAAAGGAGAGGATCACCTACATCCCAAGAAGGGCCACAGCGCAAAAACATTCAATTATAAACAGCTTTTCTCTGGTAAAGAGCAGTGGAGGAGAAGTGCGGGAATCGGACAGAGCACCTTCCGAAGCTGGGATCGGGGTCCCGGAGGCCCTCCCCCGCCGCAGCCTGGAGGCAGCCAGGGCCCGGACCCGCGCGGGGCCGCTCCCCGCGCCTCTCTCTTCTCCAGGACTCAGACGTCATTACCTTGGTGCCTCCGAGTCGTAAAACTTCCTCCAGGGAGAACCCATTCTCGTCTTCATCGTTATCATCCTCGTCGTCTTCGTCCGGATCTTCCACCGCCACCTCCCGGCCCCAGGGCCGCTTAGCATGGAATTCCAAGGGTTTCTTGGCGGCAGCCATGGCTAGCAGAGCACGCGCCGACGCCCCGCAACTTCCTTCCGCCTGTCCGGGTGACGTACTTCCCGTCCGAGCCGCGACGCCTCCGCGCGCCGCCGCGGGATAAGCCGGCATGAGTGTTCTGTTGAGGGCCGCGGCGGGGCCGCCTAGCGCCGTAGCGCGCGCGGGTAAGGGTGCGCCGCGCCGGAGCCCCGGCTGCTGTGGAAACTGCCTGGGGTGTCTCCCCCTTTCGGGGCTCCTGGGGAGCTTGGGCAGGACACGAATCCAGCCTCAGACCCGAGTGGGCCGTGGGGGGCCTGCTGCGGACTGGGGTCCGCCTTCCTGCCTTCGGGAGAGCTGAAGAGCTAACAAAGCCGTTTAAAGCACTCAGGCTGCTGTGCACTTGTAAATACGAATATTTTTAATGGGTCTGGTTTAATGTTTTTCGCAGTGATTCCTTGTCTTTGGAGAGGAAAATACTTCAGCTCCGGGAAGGAGCCGGCAGAAGGCAGCCCGGTGACTCCAGTGCTGCGGCATCTCATATACAAAATCAAGTCTACTGGCCCCATCACTGTGGCCGAGTACATGAAGGAGGTCTTGACCAACCCAGCCAAGGTTCGAGTCCGGGAGCCGAGGCTGGGCCCGCTCTGGCAGCTTGGCGCGGTGTGAGCCAGGGGGCGTGTGCGCGGAGGGAGCCCGAGGGTCTCCATCGCGCAGTGCGGGTGACAGGGTGTGTGTTGGGAGGGCAGCAGCAGCCTGTGCGAGCATACACTTGTTTTCTTTTTGAGAATGGAAGGTGCAAGTTTTTACTGTTCTAAGATAAAGCACGGTAACAGCTTTCTGACCAGCATTTCCTTGTTAGCTCTACCAAGCTACTTGGTGAACGTCTGTGGTCCTTTTAGAATGTTTCACTTTGTACTGGGTTGAAATACGAGATCTGTGGAATTCCGGGGTTGCCTTGGCCTGTTGCTGTTGGTTGTGGTGGAGTGATGCAGTGTCCAGAGGTTTACCAAGGCACGTATCCTTTAATACCTGCACGCAGGGCTACAGCGTACCAAAAATTCGTACAAGGACAAGCTTAAGGACAAACACCTCTGGGTTGGAGTGAAGGTCGACTCATCATTTACTCACTCACTGAGGCTTCAGGGTGCCAGGCACTGGAAATACTGCAGGGGACAGGGAGCATGGCACTTACATTATAATGAGAAAATGAACTATAAACAAGGAAATAATTAAACCGGATAATTACAGATTGTAAGTGTTTCTGTAGGGAACAAAGCCAGGTTGATGGGATTGAAAGTAAGTAGTTGCAGTGGGAATAGGGACTGCAGAAGTTTGCTTACTAGGTGGCCAGGGAAGGCCAGTAAGCTTGAGCTGAGGCTTGAAGTATGGGGATAGGCTAACCTGGCAAGAGAACTGGGAGGAGTACTTCCCAACAGAGGATCATAAATGAAAAGTTTTTGAGATGAGAAACGCCTTGGAATATACAGAGAAGAGAACGGCACTGGTATGGCTGGAGGGTGGTGACTGGGAGTGGGGGTTAATGGTGAGCAAAGTAGTCTGGTGGAATTTAGATCTTTGTATTAGTGCAATGGGAATCCATCAGGAAGAGCATTTAATGCTCGTTCTGTTGGCAGTGATATCAGGTGGAGATAGCAGTTTGGCCATAAGAGTCAAATACATGAGAAAGGTGGGGAATGCATTTATAAATTTGGTCATCATCAGTATATAGAGGGTGTTAAAACACAGGGAACCAGGGAGAGTATCCTTAGAGAAAAGGTTTCCCAGGGTTGAGCCTTGAGGTAACTCAAATTTAGAGTAGAGGATGTTTATTTAGGGATTCTTGAATTCATACAAGGACAAACTTAAGGACAAATATCTCTGGGTTGGAGTGAAGGTCGTCTTGACTTCGCTCTTGAATAGAATCAGGGTTTTGTGAACTTGGATGGGAATAAAAATTACACCTTTTCATTATTTTTTCTTTCATTTTTAGTGAGAACCTATCACTGTGTGACATTAGGTATATAGCATGTGAACTAGGTACCACAGTAGGTTGTTAACATCCATCTTAGATAACAGTAAAAAGAGAAAAAAAAAAAAGGAAAAATATGTTCTCGTGATGAGAACTCATAGGATTTATTCTCTTAACAATTTTCCTATATATTATACAGAAGTGTTAACTATAGTTGTCATGTTGTACTTTACATCTTTAGTATTTATCTTATAACTGTAAGTTTGTACCTTTTCTTATCTTCCTCCAATTTCTCCTTCCCCTATATTTTCTATCTCAGGTAACCACAGGTGTGAACTCTTTTTCTCTGAGTTTGGTTTTTTGTTTTCTGGCTCTTTAGATTCCACATATTTAAATGAGATCAGAGGGTATTTTTTGTCTTTTTTTCTGTCTGACATACTTCATTTAACATAATGCCCTCAAGGTCCATCCATGTGGTGAAAAATGGTAGGGTTTATTTTCTATGGTTGCATAATATTCCGTTGTGTATATTTATCACAACTTTATCCATTCATCCATTGATGGACACTTAGGTTGTTTCTATGTCTTGGCTATTGTAGTTAATGTTGCTATGCACATGGGGGTGCAGGTATCTTTTGGGGTTAATGTTTTTGTTTCCTTTGGAAATACTGCGTAAGTGGGATTGCTAGATCACATGGTAGTTCTATTTTGAATTTTTTGAGGCTCCTCCCTGCTGTTCCCTTAGTGGTTGGACCAATTTATGGTACCACCAAAAGTGCACAAGGGTTCCCTTTTCTCCATATCCTTGCCAGCATTTGTTATCTTATTAATGGTGGCCATTCTAACAGGTGTGAGGTGATACCTCATTGTGGTTTTAATTTGCATTTCCCTCATTCACTTCTAACTGGAATCTAGCATTTCTCTAATTATGAACATAGGCAACAACCAGCAGCATCAGTGATACCTGCACCTGGAAATCACTGATGCTGTCATATCACAACAGAGTGATTATAGGTATTTCAAAATACCACTGTGCTCATCTACACTTAAAGACTTTGTTACTTACTGGACTGTTCACTCAATTTTATCTTTTAATACACTTATAAAGATGCATGTATATCACTGTATTACAGATTTGTTTTTTAAATATTTGGTAGGTATCTCAATTGATTTCTAATCCTGTGTGTTGTAAGTCTCTGTGAAGGGGTCTATAGTCTTCATAACATGCCAAAAAAACCCAAAAAAAACCCACCCTGAAATGCTTACTTTTGAAGGGAAAAGGAAAGGCTAGAGGGGTGATGCTATATAGAGTTAATTAAAAAAAATTTTTTAAAGATGGAAGTGACTTAATTTTATTTCTAATACTGAGAGTAAAAAGTTAAAAGCGGTAAGAGAAAGGGGGTGATAAAAAGATCCTAGCCCATGAGAGTTGTGTGAGGAATGGCAACAAGCCAGAGCACAGGTGGAGGGATTACATCTGGTTAAGGGCAGAAGGGGAAGGCATTTCATCCTTTGAGTGTAGTGGAAAGAATGGGAGCTACTGGAGGCCATGTGGGGTCAGGAAGCTCAAGCAGTCCTAGTAATAGTATTCTTTAATTCCTGTGTGGGCAGGTAATTCCTGTGTGCTAAGAGTAAGGCAGGTAGAAAAGGGGGCCTGAGGGGCTTAGGGGATTTTTTAACAAACAATTCTTGAGTGTCTCTTGAAGGTTAGTCAATATGCTAGAACTTGAGATGTGGAGATAAATAAGACATAGTCCTCTCCCCCAGATAACTATGCCTTCTGGTGAAGAACATAGGCATATATATAATTAAATACAGAAAAAGAAGCACTGAATTTAATCTGATGTTGAACGGCTGGAGGGGGAGGCCAGGGAGAGTGGTGTTGTGTTTGAGCAGATTCAATTTTACTGAGAAAGGAATGCCAGAGAGAAATGGAAGGAGAAGGGAGAGCATTCCTGTGGCATTGATGTATGGCCAAGCAGGGTTAATAAAAATAAAAGACTTCATTGAGATACAACATTCACATGGAAAAAAAATCACAGGTATACAGCTCGATGAATTTCACAAAGTGAATACTCCCATGTAACCAGTGCCTATCTAGGTCAAGAAAATATCAGTAGCAGGCAGGGTTAATTTGAAACAAAGTGAGGATTTGGTGAGGAGGTTGGAGGGGTAGGCAGGTCTTACCCTGTGGTGTGGGAGCAGCTAGAGGGAGAGAGGGGTAGGATGTAGGGGGGACACCACATTGCTTCTGCCTTTCTAGTCAAGTAGTAATTGTGTTTCTGAGGTTTTGCAAAATGCTACTTTGTATAAATCAGACAAAGATACTGTGTTTATCTTGCTTATCTAGAAGAGGGAACTTTCTTACTAAATATTTCATTGTATTCGTAAGATTTTGGAGGGTTGTTTTAAACTTGAAAATTAATTTTTTTTCCATTTCTTTCTTTTTATGTAGGGTTATTACGTATACCATGATATGCTAGGAGAACAAGGAGATTTCATTACTTCACCGGAAATAAGTCAGGTCTTTGGGGAGGTAATATGCAAAGTAAACTATAAAGGAAGCCCGTATCACAAACATATGAGAGCAGATCAAGTTCAGTTATTCAACAGTAGTGTTTTACAGCTTTGTTTTTATGTTTTATCAAAAGTTTTAATGTTTTAGTAGTGGATAAACTAATGGAATAGAGTGCAAAAAAGAAAATGGCATACAGGCTATCTGAGTTTACATTTTAGTGTAGAAAAAGAATGTAGAGATAAGAGGGACAAAAAGAAAAGAGGTGGACATAAAGAGGTTAGAAAAGAGGAGAGTCAGATGAAATACGAAAGTGGAAGGAGAAAGACAAAAGGAGAGGTGGAGAAAGAGGTGGAGAGTACTCAGGGAGTGAATACAGATAAAAAACTACGGAATTAGTGGACTCAAGATGTGTCCCATCCATGATTCAGTTAGAGTAGAAGTCTCCCTTTAAGAAACTAAATTCTTTTCAGGAATTCTAGTTCATTTATTTCCATATAAGAACTTCGATCAACTTAGAAATAGGAAATAGTATCCAGGAATTAAAAAACATTAATTATGCCTAAAAGCCATGTACTTATTGAAATATATGAGTGAAATCCTCTTATCTATGTGGCCTCCTATAGTGGAGGCTGCTTTTTAATCATTTTCTCCTGTTACCAAGCTACCGTAATCCCAATATAGTCCTTGTGTATACATAGCTATATGTACATATTGAATAACATACATGTGGTTGAAAACATTTTGTTTTATGGTGTAAAGTGTGTGTTTATACATGGAGTTTTACATTGTGGTATATTTTTATATTTACTGTAGTTTTTTCCTTGGCACAGCTCCTAGGAATATGGTTCATTAGTGAATGGATGGCCACTGGAAAAAGTGCAGCTTTCCAGCTGGTGGAACTGGGTCCAGGTAGGGGTACCCTCATGGGAGATATTTTAAGGGTAAGTAAGAAAAGAATGTCTTAAAGTCTCATGTATATGAATCTTACTACTTTTGACTGAGTTTGCAAACTTCATTGATTTCCTTGTCTTTCAGTCCTACCACCTGAATCTTTTACTTTACAACTAAAATATAAAATTATAATATAATGAATCATTACTTACTGTTGTCTGTAATCTTAAAAAATGGGGCAGGAGGAGAATGTAAAAGTTAAAAGTATAAAACATTTAGAAGACATTATGGGAGAACACATTTGTCTTCTGAGTAGGGAAGGACTTTTTTAATTACATAAAAAAACAAGCTATAAGGAAAATATTAATTTCAGCTATGTTAAAATTAATAACTTTTTGTTCTTTAAGAAATTATGAACTTTTGGTCTTTCAAAGACATCCTAAAGAGAGAGACGAGATAAGCCAGGAAGTGGGAGAAATTGTTTGCAACACATAACCAACAAAAAACTGGTGGTTAGAATACATAAAGAGCTCCTTTAAATCAATAAGAAGGTGACAGATGACTCCGAGAAATTCATGCCAAAAATGTGAACAAGTCTGTCATCAAAGAGGAAATTCAGATGACCAATAAAAACAAAAAGATGCTCAGACTCATTGGTAGTCAGGTAAATGAAAATTAAAATCACAGTTAGATACCACTGTACCCCTAAAATTAGAAAGTCTGATAACACCAAGGGTTGGTGAGGATGCGGAGATATGGAGCAATTGGGCACTCATACGATGCTTGTAAAAGTATAATTCGGTACAACCGCTTTGAAAAGCTACTGGGCATTATCTGCTAATGTCAGAGTTACCTGCACTGCTATTTTACTGCTAAGCATATACCTAGAGCTACTAGTGCATATGTGTACCAGTAGACATTTACAGAAGTTATCAGTGTTATTTAGAATAGCAAAAAAACTGGAAGCAGCATAAATGCCTGTTGATGGGAAAATAGAACAATAAATTGTGGTGTAGTCATACAGTGGAATACCAAGTGCTATGTGAAAATGCATGAAATGACAGAGAATGCAACATTCAACATGGAATTCATCTTGTGGAATGAAAAATAGCAAATTTGTAAAAGAATTCATCATATGATTGTATTTATATAAAGTCAGAAAATAGTCAACATTAGCAATATATGTTTAGTGATAAAAATATATATTTAGAAACATTCCTAAAGAAAAGCCAGGAAATGAGAAATTTGTATTTCAGAATGGTGGTGATATATGAGGGTGAAGGGAGGACATGGGGCTTTTTTTAAAAGAAAATTTATAAACATCTGACAATAAGAATCTTGATTGTATCTTTTTTTGGGGGGGGGGAACCCCACTGATTTAAGTTTCCAGAGCTCTATTTTTTATGTTTAAGTTGTTAAAGTCATTTGAATATAAAATATTTAATATTCCCAAATATTTTCTTATTTCAAGTACTTTAAAAATCAAGCACATAGCTCTTAAAATGTATAAGGGGTGATTCCCTAGATCAAGTCCTGAGAAATCTTAAAAAGCCAAGGAATTTAAAGGAATGGAAAAAAAATAGCCAAAAACATCATTACAGATTTAATTTCATTTTTAATCATACTTTATAAAGGTTTTTTTTTCTTGGGAAGAAGTTTTCCCATTTATGGTTTTATCTAAAAACTAAATTTGGAAAAATCATCTTGTCCTTAATTATCAGATTATACCTGCATATTTAGATCTCAAAAGTAGGAGGCAAATCACCAGTGGAAATTAAATTCAAATGAAAGATAATATTGTACTTTATGCTTTTGGCATTGAATTTTAGCATTAAAATACTAATACTTTCTTTTTTCTCATATTTACAACAGTAAAAGCACATAACTAAGAGAAAATTGAAAATGTGAAAGAATTGCAAAGTTAAACTGTCAAATTAATAGTGCCATGTAAATTTGATTTCCTGAGGATACAGTTGAGTCATCTCAAAGATGAGATTATTTTATAGACTTAGTGGCTTTATAAAATCAAAACTATATACATTTTATTTCCTTCATCTTTTGTTAGACTCCTTAATCTGATCATTGTTTTTATTGGATGCTAAATCTCTTCTTTTTATGTTATTCATAATTCTACTTTTTTTTTTAGGAAATCAAATGGTGTACTGTTCATTTCTTATGTAGACTATGTTTAATAATTCTAATAGGTTATGATTCTGATAGACTTCTGGAGAGTGGCTTATATGAGGAAGTAGTTTCTCTGAAACCAAACATACTTCTGTGACATGAGCAAATTATTGTGGTGTATAGTTAGAAAACCTAAAATCTACTCAACACATTGTATTTTGCCAGTTTTTCTTCTTTTTGTATTTAGGTGTTCAGTCAGCTTGGATCTGTGCTGAAAAACTGTGACATTTCAATACATCTGGTAGAGGTGAGCCAAAAATTAAGTGAGATTCAGGCATTAACACTGACTGAACAGAAGGTCTCATTAGAGCGAAATGCTGGCTACCCAGTGTATATGAAAGGTGTTACTAAGTCTGGGATTCCAATTTCATGGTACCGAGATCTGCAAGATGTTCCAAAAGGTAATTATTTAACATTTATTAATGAAAGGATTTTCATCACAACACCTCACAGTAGTGATAAGTGACCACCACCTTGTAAAGCAATATAATAGATTGAGTCAGTGCTGCCTAGTCCCTTATCCAGAGCAAAGTTTTTGCTAGAAAAGAGCATTGTTTTAGAAAATAAATTCACCTAACATTAAGAAACAGTGAATTTCACATGGCTTGGCAAAAACCAAACCAAACCAAACCAAACCCCAAATGTAGATCTCTGTCATACTTGTTTTTCTCTGCTCCTAAGATAGTACTGATGATGAAACAGCCCAAGGCAGTGGGGGCTAAAGGAAACAGTGTTAGTAGGTGGGTTTAGTTTCATTATCTTTTGCACACTCTTATTTGCCTAAAGGCAAGCAAGGGGTGGTGGGAAAATCCTGGCCCTCGTCAGGAAGCATGTTGGTGAGCCCAAATCTGAAGTGGTGGTCTCATCTTGGGCATCTCTGCCATTCCTGGCTGAGCCTTTGGGATGATTTTAAGAGATTCAGATCCTCTTCCAGCTAACCAATTTGTTTTAATTTCTTTCAGGCCTAGTAATGAATAAAAAATTGGTGACAGATATTTCGGCTTTCTGGCCCTGATACATGTGCAAATGAGAACAGTAATTATTCCTTTGTAGGTTCTGTAGGGTAGGTTTCCTGTGATGAGGTGGGTGACTGTGGTAGCAGTGACTGTGGAAGGGACACACATTCCAGTACAAAGACTAGGCATTCTCTTTTTGTTAATGTTCTAAAGAACCAATTAATTATTGCCTTAAAAATACTGAAACAACTTTTCTATTTTTAAATAGGGAACAGCTTTTATCTGGCACATGAATTTTTTGATGTTCTTCCTGTGCATAAGTTTCAGGTATTGGTGGGAAAAAAAATCACATTGATAATTAAATGACAAAGGGCCTTCTGTTGTAAGAATAAATGTATATGGTATTTAACTATTGTTGAAATTAACTATTTGGAATTCTGATTAAATACAGTTGACCTCTGCACAACACGGGTTTGAACTGCGTAGGCCCACTTATAGGTGGATTTCTTTTCAATAAACATACGGAAAATTGGAGATTTGTGACAATTTGAAAAAACATTTTCTCTAGTTCATTGGAAGAATAAAGTACATGATACATATAACATACCAAATGTGTGTTAATTGTGTTAGTGGTAAGGCTTCTGGTCAGCAGTAGGCTATTGGTAGCTAAGCTTTGTGGAGTTAAAAGTTACACGTACATTGTCAATTGCATGGGGGGGTTTGTGTCCCTCATCCCTGTGTTGTCTGTGGTCAACTGTAATTGAAAAGCAAAAATGAAATATTAGGTAGAATTCTTAATTCTCCTAGGATAGTTATTAAGAATTCTTAATTCTCTTGGGATAAAGACGTGAGAATGTAAGATGGTAGATGGCTGCAGTATAATGGAGGTTTTTTTTTATTTTTTAGCAAATTCTTTAAAATTCCAAAGATTAAAATTTGTCTTCATTCTTTCTGTGAGGAGATTAAAGATTTGGAGGTAGTGTATGTGCACTAGTAACTTCTCAGGCTAAAGGTATATATTATTACATGATAATTTGTTAGCAGAAGCTTCTGATTGTCTTGAGTCTTTTTTCCATTTTTTGGCACTTTCCATGCTACATGTTTTGTCTCCCACAGTTCCATCTCTTATCTAAATTACATTAGTAGTTTGCACCTATCAGTCTACTCATTGTTTCAAGGAAAAGAAGTAATGCCTTTACATAAGTTTAAGTGGTGAAGTGCTCTGCAGTGTCATCTATCTCATATATAAGGAGAGAACTGAGTTATTTTTGAGAACTTGCAAAAGCTTTTATGTGTTCTTTTGTTTAGAAAACACCACAAGGATGGCGAGAAGTACTCATTGATATTGATCCACAAGTTTCTGATAAACTGAGGTTTGTTTTGGCACCTTGTGCCACCCCAGCAGAAGCCTTCATACAAGTAAGAGAAAGTTTTTTCTTTTTTTTAGTTTACTGTCAACCAAATCTTCCAAGTCTCACTTTCTGAGTTACTATTTTAGACTTCCTTTACAGGGGTAAATAGCTGCTTGCAACATTACCTAACTATTTTACACTACTTTATTAATAGTGAAAGGATCTAGAGTCAGAAGTCTGGATTAAAATAATTTCTTAGCTGTGTGACCTTAATTTAATGTAATAAAGTTAGTGCTCACTCAACAAGTCCCTTACCTTCTCAGTTTGCCTCAGTTCCCTATCAAATGGTGACAGTATTGTCTACTTGACAGGAAATGTGATGTCTGTGAAAACAGTGTAGTACAGTGTATAGCAAAGCAACAGCCATCACTACTTATTGAGTACTTTGTACATACTACTCTGTATTTTCTCGTTTATTCTCAAAAGACTCTAGGTAAGTTTTATCACTCTCTTTGAGCTACTGAAAGGGCATGCCTTTATTGTCATGTTTCCACCCAGATCTGAATTTGGCTGTAGACTGTCAGAATGGACAACTGACCTCACAGAATAATCAGAGGAGCTTCCCTGTCATTATAAAAGTTCAAAAAAAATTAAAAAGCCCTATACTTCTCAGGAACTTTAGGGCTTTAAATTTCCTGTTTCTTTTCCACCCCAGAAAAAAGATTTCTGCTTTCTGAACCATAACTAAAAACTTCTACCTCAGAAGTTACTTGTTTTAAAAGCATAAAAGCTTTTTTTAAAATTAAGGTATCATTGATACATAGTCTTATGAAGGTTTCACATCAGCAATTGTGGTTTCAACATTCACCCATATTATTGAATACTCCCCGACCCCACTGCAGTCACTGTCCATCAGCATAGTAAGATGCTGTAGCGTCACTACTTCTGTTCTTTGTGCTATACTGCCTTCCCCATGACCTATCTCTATATATTGTGTGTGAAAAGCATAAAAACTTTTAAACATAAACCTATGAATCAAATTTTCTTTGCAGAGCATAAGTAAATTAAAATATCAGCCTAACTGCTTGTGAAAATTCTAATTTTTATATTCTGGCTACCTAATTTTATCTGAATGAAATATTCATAGCTACCAAGAGCTAACCCCCTGGCCCTGGGAGTTTGTAATTCTTTTTAGCTCTTGACTTGAGCAGTATTCACTTATGAGAGGGAGAGTGATGATTTGCCCTCCCCTTGAGTGGGACATGGTAACAGTCTGCCGTTTTGCAGAGTCATCTAACATGGTAAGACTGTCAGCATGCGGCACTGAGGTTGTCACGTCAGCCTTTAAGTAACTGCCCTTATCGTTTTCAGAGTTACACCACCGTAATGTACTTAATAACACTGGGGGCTAACCGGCTGTTCCATTTGATCCTCATAGTAAGCTTAGTATATATGTAATGAGGAAACAGACTCCAAAACGTTAAGTAGCTTTCTCTAGGAAGCAGTAGGAAGAGCTGAGACTCAGATCTCAGTTTGTCTCACTCTTCCTGTTAGACTTGTGCCATAAGCAGAGACATCAGGGCAGGACAGGGCTTCATTTTTAATAGGGTGGTAGAAGGGAGCAAAAAATGTTTGTTTTTATAAGAAATTTTTTTTGCCATTTTCACAGGGATTAGTGAAATTCCATACATACTCATCAAGTCAACAAATATTAATATTTGTCATTCTACTTTTTTAGGCTAATATATTTGCTTATTGAGGGCCCTTAGTTAATACTTGAACATCTTGGGAATTATGGGCCTCAGGTACATTGACACTAGTTTATAAGCTGATGTTTCTAGATACAGGGTGTATCATTGGGATACCTCTTGCCCCAACAGAAAGCATCATATATACTTAAAAGGGTCTATTTTGTTATACTGGCATGATGTTTTGAGTGTCTGTGTGCCAGCACAGTTCTGGGCAGACAGAAGTTCTTTTTTCACGCTTTCAACCCAGTGGAATATATTCATATGAATTATGACATGAAAGTAAGATCACCATAAATCAAATGATAAATGTACTTGACCATCTGGGGGTTGGGAAGGCCTTCGTCTTTTTATAAAAGGGATTAAAATTAAAATGCCTTTGTAAACTTAGTGGATGGCATCAAAGAACCAAGGTGTTAAAGGATGCCATGTGAAATGCTGAGTGTAGACAACACTCATATTGAGGGGGAATTTTATGTAACTAAGAAATGCTCATTGTAGAAAAACCTTAAACAATTCTTTTGAATGGTGTGTTTTGATTCGACTGTTCTTTACTAGCTTGATGAAACAAGGGACCATGTGGAAGTCTGTCCTGATGCTGGTGTTATTATTCAGGAACTTTCTCAACGCATTGCACTAACTGGAGGTGGTGCACTGATTGCTGATTATGGTCATGATGGAACTAAGACAGATACCCTCAGAGTATGTATAATTTAGTAACATGATTTATCAGAACATAATTGGTATGATTTTACTTAGTGATCATTTGTTAGTTTTGAAACTCATTGAAGATCTTACCTTTGGTTTCTACAATGTGTAGCATTGTTGTATTACACTATTATAATTAATATTAATTTGTATTATTATCATTACCTGTTTAACCTTAGATTTTATTATCCAACTCTGAACAGGTCTGAATTGTCTATATTCTTCCTTAAATTGAAGAACCTAGGTTTGTGTAGATCCTAGTAAACATACAAATGGAAAGATTTTCTTAAAGTTCTTTAATTTTTCTACCCCTCCATTAAAAAAAAATGGAGCTACTTTGCAGATTTGATCTAGCTACTATAATCATTCCAACTTCTTCTGTCATATTTTCAACATCTTTTTTCCTTTCCACAGGTATTCTTTTATCTTTCCTAAACATCCTTTCTATATTTTTTGAGTGATCAATTCTGTTCAATATACTATAATTGAAATACATTTAGATGCTATTTGTCATTTTCTAGATCTTTGGTTCATCTTACTTTATTGTATCTAAGAAAAACCTGCAGGTTTTTATTTTTATTTTTTTTATGCTGATTCCCTATCCTAACTTCCAGGATTCTCACATGATTCTGAGGCACTATTTGATGGACATACTTTGTAAATCACTGTCTAGGTTCTGATGACCTGAATTTATCTGGAGAATTAATGAGATCTCCTATATTCCATTACCACAGGCATTACTGAAAATGTTAAGTATCCATCAAGGGCATTATCTTCAGGCACTCCAACACTACACTTTACGTTGGGTTTTCCACATAGCATCTCATTTGAAGAAAGCATCCTACACATTAACAGTTATAAACCACTGATTTAAGCCATGTTTTACTTTTTAACAGTTGTATAAGATATACTAAAATGATAGTATTTCTTTAATCTTGATAATGATAACCATAAAAGGATGACTCATCACTTTAAAAATTATGTTTAAGGGATTTTGTGGCCACAAGCTTCATGACGTCTTAATTGCCCCTGGAACAGCAGATCTAACAGCTGACGTGGACTTCAGTTATTTGCGCAGAATGGCACAGGGAAAAGTAGCTTCTCTGGGTCCAGTAAAACAACAAATGTTTTTAAAAAATATGGGCATTGATGTCAGGCTAAAGGTAATGATTTATTTTACTATCATTAAATATTTTCATTTCATAATACACCAAAAAATATTTCAAATAAGTTCACTGGGCCTTAACACTATTGTAGCTAGCCCCTTGGTGTGTTCCAGTCTTTTCAGTAGTGTAGGATTTAGTGTAACCAGACAGCCTGTGGGTGGATTAGCCTGGCAACTTTCGTGCACCTCCATATGAGGTAGAAATAAGACTTTCAAATAATGTGCATACATATTCATCAAGAAAACTTGGCTGTGTTTATGGGTCTGAATTTTATAATGGTCTGAAGACATCTTTAACTCAAGTGTAGATCGTATCACCTGGGAATATTTGTTAAACATACAAATAGGTTTGGGTCATAGCAACCTATGTTTTTAGTAAGTACCCCATGACTGAGGCAGGTGATCAGGAATCACATGTTAAACACTGCTTTATTGATTAGCTAACAGTCATTAGGGTTGCTGCATATAATTAGAAATCCTTTCTTTTGGTTATTTTTACTAAGAAAGCTTTTCTTTACAGGTTCTTTTAGATAAATCAGACGAGCAATCGAGGGAGCAGTTACTACAACAGTATGATATGTTAATGAATCCTAAAAAGATGGGAGAAAGATTTAACTTTTTTGCTTTGCTACCTCATAAGAGACTTCATGGTAAAAGTCAGACAAATGCATGTCAGTCAAAACCCTCTCCGTCACCTGTAGCTGGGTTTGGTGAACTTGCTTGGCGGTGATACTTAAGTTTGGACTTTTTACTCCTAAGTCGGCCTACAAAACCAAAATAAAGGGAATACATTTCATATATCACAGGTAAAAGTATTAAAGTATTTTATTTCTTCATAGCCAATAAAAATAGCCCATCTTATATACAGTACAACTAAACATTGATCTTTTAAGGTTGTGTCTGACTCTTGGTACAAATATGTGTTCTTAATGAAACAAGTTATTGTGAAACTGCCTAGTTTTATTTTTGTAAGGCTAGTTGTTATATTTTTACTTTATTTTAAAAAGTAAACATGACCTCTAGTTTAATAAAAGCTGGAAACAACCTAGTGGGTCGTTTAGAGGAAACTGATTAACTATCAGTCTGTCCATGTATTATTTTAAAAAATGAGGTAAAGCAGTATGTTCTAACATAGAAAGATCTCTGAGATTCAGTATGTAAAAAAAGTAGGGCACATCATGCTGACATAGTATATAATAATAGTGCTTCACTCTTCATGTATGAATTTTCAAGGAGTTAAGTAGAATTTCAGCTTTAGGTGCTGATGATGGAGACTGAACCTATTCTTTGAGTCTTGGGAGTATTATTCTCCTTTAATGGTTTACAAGACCAGAGTGATAAATATACTAAAAAAGACTCTTCATCTCAGAGGGCTGTTTTCAATAATGTGATTGGGATGAGAAGGGAGAAATACAAAACTAATGCTACTTGGCCAGTAATGATGAACGGTGTTTAACTGGCCCTCCTCCAATTCATGTTACTATCATTAGGTCTGTTACTAATAGAATTGAGTATGGCTGAGGGGTTGGAATATCATGCTTCATTGTTTTGATATATATAGTGTGGGGATGATTACTAGGATTAGAATGGAGAAAATAAAGGCAATACTCTCATTTATTGGGAATGGAATGTAGAAATTGCACAGGCAAATAAGTATCACTCTGGTTTGACATGAGGGGGAATAAGGGCATTGGTTGATGTGTAGTTTTCTGCATCTTCTAGAAGATGGTGAAAAATAGGACTAGTTAATAGTACTGTAACTAGGAATACAAGTTGTAGGATGTATTTGACTGTAATATGGGTGAAATGGGGTTTTTTTTTTTTTTGGGGAAATGGGTTTTTATCTGTATTAGATGTGATTCCTGTTGGGTTATTAGACCCTATTTCATTGACAAATACTAAATGGCATTACTAGAGCTGAGATGATAAATGGATCAAATGGAAGGTGAAGGTTTAGGTAAGGGTACCTTTATGAAATTTATTCCACTAGGTTAGTGCTGATGTAGCGGATGGCTGAGATTTGTGATGGCTGCTGTACCCCAAGGATATTTGGCCTCATGGTACATAGCATATAAAAGTTGTGGCTATTGCTGTAAATAAAATTCCAGTGTTTCATGTTTCTAAGAAGGTATAAAGTTCATAGTATGTGAATAAACAGGCAGATTAAAAAACATACAACGATGAGCTTTTGTCATGCAAATAATGGATGATTCATCCATAATTTTGATCTTGGCAAATGTGGGTTATCAGTGAAAATGTGGTTGTGTCTGATGTGTAGTGTACATCTAGGAATCCTGTTAGAATTTGTAAGACCAAACATACTCTTGGAAGGGAACCAAAGAGTCTTGATGATGATTTGGAGAGGCTGATGAGTCAATGAATGAATGGTTAATCTTATTTAGTGGGTGGGATTTTCAGATGTTAGTCATTAATGTTCTTATAGATTTTTCATGTTAGATTCTATGTGAGAATAATGACATGTTCATTTTAAGTATTCTTTGTGGTTAGTTCTGTAGGTTTTTCTTCAAAATCTTCATCTACTTGTGGTTAAGTGTTGATTGTGAGTGGTGGAATTGGTATTTTAATGAATTTTAGCTGGTGTTTTTTAGGTTTTTTTGGAGGTGTGCTGGTTTTTGGCTATCTAGTAGCTATGGCTACTGAACAATATCCTGAGGTTTCAGTATCTTGTCTTAGGGATGTTCCTTTCTGGGTTATTGATAGAGGTTATAGTGGTTTTATATGTGTTGAAAAATGATGAGGTGGAAGTTGTGTTCAAGTTTAATGGATTAGGAGATAGGGTGATTAATGATACTGGAGAGTCTGGATTTTTCAGTGAGGAGGCTATAGAGATTGTTGCATTGGCTGATAGTTGTAACCAACTGATCTTTATTAGGTATTCTGGCTATTGTGGAGGTTACTCATGGAGATTTAAGGATAAACTTAATAAGATTAGTGTGCAAAATGTTTTATATTTGATTCTATTATAGTTATTTAAAGAAATGCTTATAAAGAAATATTTATAATTTCATAGAAGTTAATTTGTTAGTGCAGACTGGTTGTTTTCTGTTCTGTGCTATTCATTTGTATATAAAACAGAAAGAGGGGGAGGAGCCAAGATGGCGGCATGAGTAGCACAGTGGAAATCTCCTCCCTAAGCCATATATATTTTTGAAAATACAACAAATACAACTATACATAAAAGAGAGACCAGAGGATACAGTACAACAGCCAGGCTACATCTACATCTGCAAGAACACAGCATCTCACGAAGGGGGTAAGACACAAAGCTGTGACCTGGTGGGACCCAAGGGCTCCCCAACCCAAGCTCACCGGCAGGAGGAAAAGAGTCAGAGTAGGGAGAGAGAGGAAGAACAGGACTGCTAAATAACCAGCTGTAGTAATCCACTCCAGGAGCACAGACATACATTGCATGGTGTGCTCGATATTAGGGAAACGGAAAAGTAAAATCTGTGAATGGGTCCCTGCAGCCGGCTCCCCTGGGACAAAAGAAAAGCGTGTATTTTTTGAAAGTCTTAAAGGGACAGGAGCTTCACAGCTGGATGGAATCGTCCTGGCACACTTAGCCCAGCAGGCAGGGAGTTCTAAGGAGCTTCGGGTGTCCCAGCCCCTGGGGAGGCATCGCAGCTCTGAATCCCCTCATGGCGATAAACAGCCTGCTGTTCATTCCCCCCAGCGCAGTGCCACCACAGTCGTGGAACAGCCTGAGGGCGGCTGCACCCACAGCAGCCGCCCAGTCTCCTCCCAGTGCGCAGCTGCCCGGGCCAGACCCAGGGGCCGATGCTGGTGTGTGGCTGCCCACCACAGGCAGAGGAAACCAGGGCAGGGCGCAAAGGGGCGCCATTCTCGCAGGAGAGTACACCCAGCCTGCCTGCCACTCCCTGCAGGGCTCTGGGCTACCCCGAGGGCTGCTCCCGGTGTGTGGGTAACCGACACAGGTAGCGGAGAGGGGCAGGGCAACCAGCAAGCAGGAAGGGACTCTGTTCACCAAGCTGATACACACACCACCTGCCTACAACTACCTCTATCGCCATGAAAAGGCAGAAGAATTTGGTCCAGTCCAGAATTACCCAAACCCCCAAGAGAGGGCCCCAAGAGACAGATATAACCAATCTTCCTGAAAAAGAATTCAAAATAAAGGTCATAAGCATACTGATGGGCCTGCAGAGAAATACGTGAGAGCTAAAGGATCAAGTTAGGAGGGAGAATACAGAAATAAAACAATCTCTGGAAGGACTTAAGAGCAGACTGGATGAGGTGCAAGAGACCATAATGGAATAGAAATCATAGAGAACAGGAATACAGAGAAGCTGAGGCAGAGAGAGATAAAAGGATCTCCAGGAATGAAAGAATATTAAGAGAACTGTGTGACCATTCCAAACGGAACAATATTTGCATTATGGGGTATCAGAAGAAGAAGAGAGAAAAAGGTATAGAAAGTGTCTTTGAAGAAATAATTGCTGAAAACTTTCCCAAACTGGGGAAGGAAATAGTCTCTCAGACCATGGAAGCCCACAGATCTCTCAACACAAGGGACCCAAGGAGGACAACAACAAGACATAATAATTAAGATGACAAACACCAAAGACAAGGACAGAGTATTAAAAGCAGCCAAAGAGAGAAAAAAGGTCACCTACAAAGGAAAACCCATCAGGCTATCACCAGACTTCTCAACAGAAACCTTACAGGCCAGAAGAGAATGGCATGATATATTTAATGCAATGAAACAGAGGGGCCTTGAACCAAGAATACTGTATCCAGCACGATTATCATTTAAATATGAAGGAGGGATTAAACAATTCCCAGACAAGCAAAAGTTGAGGAAATTTGCGTCCCACAAACCAATTTTTGGGAAAATTGCGTCCCAAAATCCTCTACAGAATATTTTAAAGGGACTGCTCTAGATGGAAGCACTCCTAAGGCTAAATAGATGTCACCAGAGAAAATAAAATCACACCAAAGAAAGCAGACCAACCAAATACTAACTAAAGGCAAAAAATAAAATATTCACAAAGCAATCAAAGGGGAAACACAAAAGAGTACTGAATAAAACACCTAACATATAAAGAATGGAGGAGGAGGAATAAGAAGGGAGAAAAATAAAGAATCATCAGACTGTTTTGATAGCTTAATAAGCGAGTTAAGTTAGACGGTTAGATAGTAAAGAAGCTACCCTTGAACCTTTGGTAACCATGAATCTAAAGCCTGCAATGGCAATAAGTACGTATCTTTCAATAATCACCCTAAATGTAAATGGACTGAATGCACCAATCAAAAGACACAGAGTAAAAGAATGGATAAAAAAGCAAGACCCATCTATATGCTGCTTACAAGAGACTCACTTCAACCCCAAAGACATACACAGACTAAAAGTCAAGGAATGGAAAAAGATATTTCATGCAAACAATAGGGAGAAAAAAGCAGGTGTTGCAGTACTTGTATCAGACAAAACAGACTTCAAAA